ATAGAATTGAGATGAAATTAGGACGGAATTAGGACGGAATTGGGACGGAATTAGGACGGAATTAAAACGGAAACGAGGCGGAATTGTAATGATATTGAGAAGGAATTGTGATGAAATTATAACGGAATTGAAACGAAATTGATACGGAATTTAGAAGAAATTGAAAAGGAATATAGATGGAATTGAGATAGAATTTAAACAGAATTGAGACAAATTGGAGGGGAAATTCAAACGCCTTTGAGACGGATTTGAAACGGTTTTGAGACGGAATTTAGATGGATTTGAGACGGAAATGAGACAGAATTGAAGCAAAATTGAAACGGAATTGAGATGTATTTGAAACTGAATTAAGACGGATATGAGATGGAATTGAGGCGTAATTTAGATTGAATTGAGACGGAATTGAGACGGAATTTGGATTAAATTGAGATGAAATTAAGACGGAATTGAAAAGGAATTCAGACTTAATTTAGACGGAAGGGAGACCGAAATCTGATGAAAATTAGACGAAATTGGGACATATTGCTGACGGAATAGAAACGGAATTAAGTCGAAATTGAGACGGAACTCAGACTGAATTAAGGAAAAAAATTGTGACATAATTGAAGAGGAATCTGTAAGGAGACGGAATTGAGGTGGAATTAAGATGAAGCTGAAAGGGAATTTAGATGGATTTGAGACGGAATTTAGACATAATTGTGACGGAATTGAAACGCAATTGAAATTGGAGATTGGAGATGCAATTGACAATATTGAGACGGAATTGAGATAGAATAGAGTCAAAATTGAAATGGACTTGAGACGGAATTAAAATGGATTTGAAGCGGAAATGAGAAGGAAATGAGACGTAATTGAGATGATATTAAGACGGAATTGAGGCGGAATTGAGATGGAATTGGGACGAAATTGAAACGGAATTGATATGGACTTGAGACGGAATTAAAACGGAATTGAAGTGGATTTCAGACGAAATAGAAATAGAAGTAAGACGTAACTGAGATGGCATTGAAACGAAATTGAGACGGAATGGAAACGGAATTGAGACCGAACTGAGACGGAATTAGGACGGAAGTGAGGCGAAATTGTGTTGGAATTGAGACGGAATTCAGTCTGAATAGAGGCGGAATTGTGATGGAATTGAAACGTTAGTAAGACGGAATTGAAACGGAATTAAGACGGAATTAATATCGAATTGAAACGGAATTGATATCGAATTGAGACGGAATTGAAGCGGAATTGAGGTGGAGTTGTGATGGAATTGTGTTGGAATTGAGAAGGAATTGAGACGGAATTCACATGAAATTTAGATGGAATTTAAACGGAATTAAGGTGGAAGATGCAACTTAGACGTTATTTAGACGTAATTGGGACGGAATTCAAACGTTATTGAAACGGAATGGGGCAGAATTCAGACGGAATATTGTCGGAATTGGGAAGGAATCGAGATGAAATCGTGGCGGAACTGTGACGGAATTGAGACGGAATTGAGATGTATTTGAGACGTAATTAATACGGAATTGAGACAGAATTGAATCGGAGTTGTGGAGGAATTAAGATGGAAGTGAGGCGGAATTGAGGCGGAATCGGGATAGAATTGAGACGGAATTAAATCGTAATTGAGACGGAATTGAAACGAAATTGTGCTGGAATTGAGACGGACGGAATTAAGACTTAGATTTGAAATAGAATTTTGACGGAATAGACTTGGAATTGAGACGGAATTGAAATGGACTTGAGACGGAATTTGAATCGGAATTGAGACGGAATTTGAATCGGAATTGAAATGGAATTGAGACAAGATTGAGACGGAATTGAGTCGGATTTGAAACATAATTGTGACGGAATAGACTCGAAATTGAGACGGATATGAGGTGGAATAGAGGCAAAATTGCAACGGAATTGAGTCGGAATTGAGACGGAGTAGTGAAGGAATTCAGACGGAAGTGAGATGGAATTGAGACGGAATTAATGCGAAATTGAGACGGAATTGAAACGGAATTGAAATGATATTGTGATGGAATTGAGACGTACGGAATTAAGACGGAAGTGAGACGGAATTGATACAAGATTGAGACGGAAATGAAACGGAATTGAGACGGAAATGAGGTGGACTTGAACCAGAATTATGATGGAATTGAGACGGAATTGAGATAGCATTAACATGGAATTGAAATGTACTGAATTCAAGCGGAATCCTATCGGAATTCACATTTTATATTATGTTAAATTAAGTCGGAATTGAAACGGAATTGATACAATTTTAGGAATTTAGGAATGATTCTAAACATCTGACAAGTTTGACTAGCCCTACTGGTCACAGAACTTCTAAAAATTTCATATTTCTTCCGGTCTTCTGACACGCTCACGGAATTTACGATAAGTACACGGATCATTCAAAAAGCCCCACGGAAGTTATTTTTACTTATTACTAATTACTAGTTCACGAAAGTCTTGATTTTTCTAAGGGTTTTTCCAACTAGTTCAAGGGACATCCCTCTTTGTTCTTCCAAATTGTCAAATTCTCGGGATAATTACAACTTAGCAATTTTAAACCAACCCAAAGCTAACTGGTCATTTTTAAAGTGAATAAATGTTTCACATATCATCTAATGTTAAAATGTTGGCAAATTTGACTTATTTCAATGTACTCATGCTCAAGATCTCATAAATTAAAACCACAGACAAACAGACATAACACATTGCATATTTCTCACTGTAAAACATCGTCGCTAAAACATTACCGCCATTTGTTGAGTACACTGTGGTGGGCACTACGCTGAACAGATGGCAGTAGTGTGTAAACGTCAAACGCAAGGGAATTGACTATGTGCGCCACAGGTGGCGGTACTACTAACTACGATGCTTTTAAATTGTCCGTTAAATGCTTGTTCGATGAACAACTTTCGAGTGTTATGGCTGTTTGTCTGTGTTAAAACTAGAAAATATGGTGCTGTAACGTCCAGCGTTTGCCACATTTGGTAACGTTTTCTTAAACCTCTCCTTCCCTCCCTAGGCGTATGAAGTTATTCATGGATGCTCCCGTGGAAAACAGGATTTGTTATCAAGATGTTTTCAATGATAACAAAATTAGTGCTATTCAGCAAGCATTTTTTGTTATAATTTTTTGATATTTTGGCTATAACCTTGATAACCGGGTAGCAGAACTTGTTATCAATAAGGTATAAAACTTTACTTGGGATGGCAAAGGCGCGAGTATCTTCTCTACCCTAGCAGGAACGAATATCTCGATACCCTAGATTGGATACTGATGTAAGAGGTAAAATATCAAAAAATAATACCAAGAAAATATTTTCACAATCATGCTTGGCATGCACAGTTGTACACACTTATTTGTTAATAACTTTTCACTCAGTTGTTGACATTTAGTTTTCTTTAAAGTAATTAATAGATTAGGATCAGAGTTTACTGTAGACATGCAAAGAGTAGGTAAATCTTATCATTTGAATCAACACCAATGAATTTTTACTCTTAAAGTCCGAGATGTGCTGCGAGCATTTCTCATTTCATTTTCGCAACGCAAAATCAAATGCAGTTTATTACTAAAATTAAAATCTCTTTTTTAGATAGATATGAAAACCTTAAACTCTATTCTATCGACTGCTTCAAACAGAACTATGTTTCGTCAACTCTGTGCAAAGTTATTAGCAAATGAGCAGTTCGTGAGCAAAACTGTGTATGCCAAGCATGCCCACAATACCATTCCAATACCAAATTATGCAAATGAAATATCAAAACAATACCATACAGTTACTCTTTTGGGGTTCAGTTTTGGTTATTTACAAAGTATTTTGCATGCATTTTGTTGGCATTATTCTTTGGTATTCTCTTATGTCATGATGATCAATACAATATTTTGGTATCTGGTCAGAATTAGATATTCATTAGTTATTTTCTCCTGCTCGGGAACTCGTGCCTTGGCCATCCCGAGTATTGATACCAAATTGATAACAAGTTCTGATACCCGGTTGCCTGATTAACACCAAATTTTTGTATCAGGAACTGAATTAAGTATTCATAGGTTATTTTCTCCTGTTCGGGTATCAAAGATTCCCGACACCATCACTTTTGGCTTTTTAATCTGGTAATCAATCTATTATTCCCTTTTCCGGATGCCCTGATACTTGGTCCTGGTAATAAAGGTACCATTTGTGGTTAGTATTCTTACTACAGCCAGAAATTGGGAAAATGGAATACCGACCAAAACTCCATCTGCAAACAACGGTACCCCGCTGTATCTATATTTTTCACCTGTCAATCACACAAGCAAAGATGACAAAATCGCCAAATAATTGATCGTGACCCCATTGTCCCCGAACCAATTTGTATTGCATCATTGAACTAGCGCGCTGCGTGCGGCGCATGTACCTACATTGCATATCAAATATAAAGTAGTTGCTCCGAAGGACAACCAAACCCGTCGCATACTCTCATGGTATTTGCCCGCACGAATCACTACTCATTTCTGTTTGCAAACCTTGCCTAGCATACTTATCATAACAATCTATCGCTGGTCAACGCAGCATGCAACTATTTTCAAGCACCTGTCGTTGTCGTTAGAGAGCATGGATTTAATGAGATTGGTTTGAAAAAAAAAGCTGATTCGCTCTCCAGCAAAAAGCAGTCAGAGCATTGATTTGATTTGTATTTATGTACGCATTGACCGAGCAGCCAAATGCAAATGTTGATTCTCCCTTGAATTTCAATTGTTTGTCGCTTAAGTGAACTAGAAATCAATATTTCGATAACCTTTTGACGATTTCAATTTTAACGAGCTGTTGTTCCAATAAACGAAGGTTCGTCGCTTGCGGTTGAGAGCAAGTCTCTCCCGCGTCGAGCGCGATCACATCCATAGTCTGCATTTAGGCGTTTTGCTTGAGCAAAAGTGTTGCATGCGGCGATTGGTGTTTTGTCGCATTAGCTTAAGCAACTGCTGCAACGATCGCAAATTAATTTCAAACCTTTTCGTTTGTCACTTTCAGAGGAGATTATCAAAAAGCGCAAAACCGAACTGATCACGACCCGCCAAATCGAAACCCGCGTCCAACGGCAGCTCAAGTTCGAAGATGGCAAAGTTATCGAAGATTCCGGCCCGATTGTGTCCACCAACACCACCGAGGACACCGACCGGCAGGAAACGGTGCAAACAGAGGTAAGAACACCGAATGATTAATCAGGTTTCTCGTCTCATTCCCAATTTTTTGGGAGGCCCCGGCACCGAGGTGAATGTACGTTTAATGGTGTTTTGTTTTGTCTTTCTGCAATTGCTTTCAGCACCGTACCCTGGGCGATCCAACGGAGGAAGAAGTTACCAAAAATGTTGCCGCCGTCGATTCCGGCGGCGGAAAGCCGGTTCTCGGCGACGCGGCCGGCCTGCAAAAACTAGTCAGCGATAGTGGGGAGGCGGGTGGTGGTGGAAGGTTGGAGGCCGCGGTTGACGCAAACAGCAACAAACCAAAGACAATCAGTGCCATCGTGGCCAGGCCCGATGGACTGCTGAAAAACATCAAGGAAGAGGTGGAGGTCTCCCGGGAGGAGACCAAGGAGTGCACGGTAACTGCCGAGCGGAAGCATTTTGGCGATTTCACCGATGATGTGAGTACCTTTCTGTTGACTTTCGACCTCCCATTAAATTATATGCCAATCAATAGCTAACCAAAGGAAGTCAGTTCGACGACCCGCATTGACCCTAAAGTGGGTCAATTGCCAACCAGCCTGGAAAACCAGTTTGCCGTTGTACCCCAATTTAGCATTATTTTGTTTTTCGTGCACGCCATCAATAGAAGAGCACATTTCTTGCATAACCCAGAGTACTGCCGTTGCGGCCTCTGGAGGTCTCTCGTTGTAGAGTCCCCAATAGCGGTCGCGAACGGTGACGTAATCCTGGTGGGTCTCCCTAACTTCATTTCTGTCTTGTATCTCGTGTCGTGTGCTGTTTTACCGCGTCGCACATTTTGCCCCTTTCCCATTCCTCTACTCGATCGGGCAGCTTCTTTCACGTTCTTCTTCACGATTTGCTCATGGCTCGTGGGTGTAGCGAGGCTCTTTTGGACCTCCAGTCGACAAATTAATTCACCACTGCACACGACACTGCAATCCACGCAAACGCTGCTCGCGCCGCCATTCTCCAATCGCATCCGAAGATCATCGATTAATCCACACCGGGGGGAAAAAAGTGGCCTAACGGAGCTCGAAAGATCATCACGTTGATTAAATGTCAATCGTAAAAGTCGTATTTCTAATTTAATAGATAAAGTCACACATAGTGCTCCAGTTGGCCTGGGATTTGTTCTACACGCTGAATTTAATTGGACGCCGAAATTCTGCGAGTCACCCAACTAGACTAAATTTTGACCTTCAAGCTGCTGGCAGAGCCCAACTGTTCTCCCGTTTTTCGATTCGAGCCAGTCGCTGATGATGTAGATGCTAGATTAAGTTGTTCACAAGAAGGTGCCTGAAGTGCGTGTCGGGTCATTGCTCATTCTCGTTCATTGGGTTGCGCTATAGTGGTTGTCATCCTCTTCAGCGCTTCAGTTCAGTACAAAGTAGCTTTGAAGTGATCCACCATTAAGATCTTTACTTCCTTGTTTTGGTTGCTTTGGAGAACTCTTCCACGAATGTTTTAATAGGTTTCTGTTCATTTCGCACGTCTGGCAATCTCATTCACAGTTGATAAGGCCTGTTTTCGTTGGTCATAAGCTGAAGTCGTAATGTCGAGAATCACGTTTATAATTTCTATATGGGGGTACACTTTGTGAAAACCGAAAATGGAACATGTAACAAAATTATGTAAGAATTTGAACGTTCATAACTCAGCTGCCCCTGGACCAATTTCAATAATTATATCACCATTCGATCAGAAATATTTTGACACATCTGTTAAGTTTAAGACTTTATCATTTTTAAAAATGTTACTATTGAAAATTGCACGAATGTGCAACTGTTGTATGATAATTAAAATTATCACCGATTGCCTGCGAAAAGCGATTTCCCTAACACAGATTTCAAAGTTGAATACCATCCGGTCTCACCAAACGGTGTTTATCAAATCACCGCGTGGTGAGTGGCGATGATATCCAGTACACAACGAAAGGCTGCCTGCAAGCTGCATCCAACATGAACATGATCGAAATCAGTAGCTCTTTGTGACTCGCTGTGGGTCATCCATGTCATGCGCGTCATACTAAAGAGTATAAACAGAGAGAACTCCGCTCATATTCTTATTCCTACACTAAACACAAGCTCATGCTGCAGTTTTTTTTTTTCCTTTGGTTTGTTTTTTCCGTCGATCTTGTTTTCCGTGCTGAGCACCAATGCTACCGACGTGCCAGGAAGGCAGCTCCCACACCTGGACCCTACCTATCGACCCATCAACTCATGAACCGGGGACCAACGGCTTTACTTCCCATCCGAAGGAAGGCGTGATCAGAGATGTTATGCCTCAGAACATCCCGGCGGCGCCGACTGGTATTGAACCCAGGCCTGCTGGGGTGAGAGGTAATCACGCTTACCACTACACCACCGGCGTCGTTCGTTCCTGCTGCAGTTAACAAATAAGATTTATTATACAAGAGCACGTAGTCCTACGCAGTGCTGAGATTTGTCATTGTCATTGATAGACTTTCGCGCGATATTGACAAAATTGTTCGTCACATAGTCACTGACAGACTTGATCCTCAAAAAAACCTCCGTCAAAATCTCTTTAATTTTTTCGTCAATGACAAAGATTCACCTGGTAACAAATCGTGTAATCTAGTACATGATGTGTCACATTATTGTTATCCCAGTAGTTCAGGACGTAGATGCTTGTTCACTAAAATGGTTCCATGTAATTGTTTTGCTCAAGTCATTTAGTTTCGTTACAAATTTAGTTAATATTAAAATCTACACATGTTCGTCACTGACAGCATTGTCATTGACAATTGACATGGTTTGCCTTGACTATGATAGACTAACAAGTCTAAATGAGTAACCAAAACAGAATTGTCAATATCACCGTGTACTGTCGAAATTTTGCAGCACTGGTCCTACGTCACCATTGCGTTCAACCCCATAGGGCTGTCCCTTGTAGTTTTTTTAATTTGATTTGAGTACATACCCGAGCAAAGTAAAATAACAACCTGATATCATCTAGATAACAAGTCTTGTTATTCCATATATGGTTTTGTTTTTACTAATTTAGTTATTAACCTTGACTAACTTTCAGGATTCAAAAAAGATTCTACCGAGTGGATAGGAAGGACGGAGTCCAACCCTATTATTTTTTTTCTTTACGGATACTATCCGACTAGACTTTTCAAATGCAAGATGGAGTTGGAACCGGCCTTGAACATTCGTTTCATTGTCTGATAGATGGCAATTTTGGGCAGGTTCCAACTCCTGGCTCCACACCAGTGGACCCTGGACACTGGGGGGAGGGTCTGGTTGGCAGTTCTGGTAAGGAGTTGGTTGGCCTCCTCGAGGAGGAACACTCCTTCGCTAGAACCCATAGTCTACTCAAGTAATCCGATAGGCCAGCGGCAAATGGTCATGTCGATAAGTCGGTTAAAGGGGAGTACCCGAGCAGTAGAAAATAACGAATGTATAACTAATTCCGACCTGATACCAAAATTTGGTATTGACCAGCATGTAATACTTTGTAAATAACAAAAACTGATATTTTGATACCAAAAGAATACCTGTGTGGTATTGTTTTGGTATTGCAATTGCATAATTTGGTATTGAAATGGTATTGTGGGAACCTCTTTTTGGTATTATTTTTTGGTAATAATGGTAAATTATGTCATGCTCATCTATACCAATTTAAGGTAGCGAGATATTCGCTCCTGCTCGGGATATGCCACCCTCAACGCAGGTATCAAAATACCCATCATTTTTTTTAAATCGGCATGACGTGTAAAGGCCGAAAATCGATTTTAAAATCCAAGATGGCGGTCATCGGTTCAAGAAAATCTGTTAAATCCGGAGTGATTTGAGATTTGGGCGTAATTGTATTTGTAAACAAACAAGTCAATCGCCGATTTCTCGAGAATAAAAGCTCAATCTTATAAACAAACTATACCAAATGATAGAGGAATCATACCTCTACCTCATAGTATTAATAGTTTTCAAAATTGAGCTTTTATTCGCGATAAATCGGCGATTGACGTGTTTGTTTACAAATACAATTACGCCCAAATCTCAAATCACTCCGGAAATATTCTACAATATGGGTATTTCCGGATAGGGGACGACGTGTAGAGGACGGAAATCGATGCCAGACGCCATTTTTGAATCGGCCATTTGGATGGCGGTCATCGGTTCAAGAAAAACTGTCAAATACCCTACAATATCAAGAACAACATGTGAAAAGGGCATACAAGCTTTTTGTAAACAAACCTTCTTATGCCCTTTTCTCGGCACCCATCCCTAGTAGCACGCTTGTCTCTAATCGGTTGTGGAAACTTCTATACGACTTATTTCAGTCATAAACAAGTTGCTGCAACTTATTGTAGTGGAAGTGTGCTACTCGAGATATGACACCAACGCAAACCATCAACACCACCGGATAGCGGAAGCTTTCCCCTTCCCGATGATGTTGTTAGTTTGCGTGGGCGACCCTCGGTTGGCGAGAAGAGGGCCTACAATGGTTCGTTTACAAAAAGGGGACGGCGCTTAAAGGCCGGAAATCGATTCCAGACGATATTTTTGAAACCAAAATGGCGATCATTAGTTCAAGGTTCGTAAAGGGGACGACGTGTAGAGGCTGGAAATCGATGCCAGATGTTCAGCCAGTTCAAGAAACACTGTCAAATACCCTAAAATATGGGTATTTCCGGATAGGGGATGACGTGTAGAGACCGGAAATCGGTGCCAGATGCTATTTTTAATCCAATAAAATGCCGCCATTTGCTGCTGCTGCTGCTTTCAGTGGGACCGCATCGAATTCGATTTTTAAGTCTGTGTTAGGGAATGCGCTGTTTTCAGACATTCGGTGATAATTTTGAACTCCATTGCAACAGTTGGACATTTGGTATGGTATTTTTGAATAAGTGACCTATTGAAAATTACTATGTGTCCATTTTAGCAGATTGGTAGATAAATTTCCAATCGTTTGGCTTGTTTAGAATTAAAATCTATCTGCTATTGGTCGATACCTGACCTCTTTTCGTAATGCTGTGCATTTTGGTTTTTTGAAATTGTGTGGATTCTATAGATCCTGTGGAGATCTATCTAGCCCTGATGTTTGTGTTGGTAGAGGGAAAATGTAAACTTTGCGGGAGACGATATCCTAACACTCGAAAGCAATTTTGTGAAATATGAAGTAAAACAAATCCTAGCTAGTTCTGCACGATGATTTTGTTTGATTTTATTTATTTGTTAAGTAGCCGGGAAATACCAACTGGCGATTTGTTTTTTATGATAACTCCTTACTTGAAAACAGGCAAAAACTCACAAACAGGCTGCTTTTTCATGGTATACAGTGTGATAATTCAATAATCAATAAATTATCTCAACATTTAGTGGCAAACCATTCATAAATTTTGGTAACATACACAAAATTCTATAATCCACAATAAATTTCATATGTAAGCACCGATTGAAACAATCTTTTC